CATACTGATTTTGTTGACAAAAAAAAACTTTTTTTGTCCTCTAAATGCTGTATTTTGTCTGTACCAGGAAGCTTTCTGGCTCCCTCTAGTGGAGAAAATATTTTTTCTAAGACTTAGAAATTTTGTTCAGTACAGCTCTCAAGAAATTAATCAAAATTAGGACAAATTATTTGAAATTTCCAATATCTCCTGAATATAAAGAATTACAATTTAAAGAGATTTAAACTCTATGTTGGGGTTTGTGGTTTCTGTACAACTCAATTGGAAACTACTAATCATTTGTTTTATGGATGTAAAGAAGTTAAAAACCTATGGGATCAACTTCAGATCTTTCTATCTTCTAGATCTATAAATGTGGACTTTAATTCCTTACAAATAATTCAGTTTGGTTTATATATTAATGAAAAAAGGTGGAATTTCAAATAACCAAATATTATATCCATAAATGTCGTCATGTAAAATGCTCCCTCTCTTTCTCATCTCTCAAAAAAGAACTTTCCTCCTTCAACTGATGTCTGAAGAAGATGCAGAACCTTAAAGCAAATAAATTGTCCGATTTATTGGAAGAATTTCAGTTAGTTCCCTCTTCTTATTAATTTATTTTATTTTAGTTTTTTTTTTTCTTGTTCTAGCCTGAAATTTTTTATTGGCGTTAATAGGAGTCGTGATCTTATTAGTTTCTTGTAATGTTCATGTTCATTGATATTCTGTTGTTTTTTTTTTTTCAATTTAAAAAAAAAAATAAATAAAAAAAGCTCTCAAGAAATTTCCATTTTTAAAGTGCAGCAGTGGTAAAATGTAAACTTAAGACTGATATATGATTTACAGATTCCAACATTCAGCGCTTTTTTTTTATTTTTATAAAAACATTCTGCAGTCTAATGGCAGTCGGGAGAAGGCTGTTCTGGAGACGATGTGCAGTTGCTGAGATATTGTCAGAAATACAAATCTGGAGAGTTTGTGTTCAGTAGGGCTGGGTAAAAAAATCGATTTTAAATCTATTCCTTTACATTTTTNAAAAAAAAATTATATTCATAGCAGTGAAGCAGCAAAGTTCCTAAAAGCTTTGACTTTTTTTTCCCTCATAAAAAAAGAAAGGAAATCTTATGTGACTTCATAGGAGCGGTTGTTGTGTTATTGATGTTTTCCCCGTCACCATAGTTACAGATCCGTGGCTGGCGCGTGTCCCACTCACAGCACACACACACCAGTGTTTTCCTTGTCTTCTAGTCCCCTGATGTGATTACAGGAGTCCTGCTCCTCCTCTGGAACCTGCTGCAGGAGAAACCTCCAGGGAGGAAGTGAGGTCACGGGGCGATCTGTCCCCGTTTGGGTTAGCTGGTTATAGTTAAAGGTTAAACGTACAGTTTTGGCGGTTCTGGTTGAAGAGATGTTTTTTTGGACGGGAGTCAGACCACAACCGGAGGAATCCCTGATGTCCATTAGTCCTGTCGACCCTTCAAATGTCAGTCAGAGGGATTGTAGATTGCACCAAACACATGCAGGCCTGCAGGATCCAATTGGAGCCTGTTTTTGTTTTCTGGACTGTCTGAAGCAACAAGGGTGGAACCCAGAGATTCCGGTCTATACATCCACGGCTTTGGGTTATGAATTGATGGAAGGAATGGAGTATAGCTGACGTGTCTTTTAGTGATGTGTGATGTGATCGTATCAGAGGGGTGTGGGGGGTGGGGGGTACAGCAGCAGCAGCAGAGGTAAGGGGAACATTCCTCCCCAGTACATCCCACTGATTACCATCTGAGTGAGGCTCTCACACCCTCCAGTTGGACTGTGGAGGAACAGAACATGTTGTCCCCCGGGGTGGGTGTGTGTGTGTGTGTGTGTGTGTGAGTGCTTCACCTTCTCACCACATACTGATTTTGTTGACAAAAAAAAACTTTTTTTGTCCTCTAAATGCTGTATTTTGTCTGTACCAGGAAGCTTTCTGGCTCCCTCTAGTGGAGAAAATATTTTTTCTAAGACTTAGAAATTTTGTTCAGTACAGCTCTCAAGAAATTAATCAAAATTAGGACAAATTATTTGAAATTTCCAATATCTCCTGAATATAAAGAATTACAATTTAAAGAGATTTAAACTCTATGTTGGGGTTTGTGGTTTCTGTACAACTCAATTGGAAACTACTAATCATTTGTTTTATGGATGTAAAGAAGTTAAAAACCTATGGGATCAACTTCAGATCTTTCTATCTTCTAGATCTATAAATGTGGACTTTAATTCCTTACAAATAATTCAGTTTGGTTTATATATTAATGAAAAAAGGTGGAATTCCAAATAACCAAATATTATATCCATAAATGTCGTCATGTAAAATGCTCCCTCTCATTCTCTGCTTTCAAAAACGAACTTTCCTCCTTCAACTGATGTCTGAAGAAGACGCAGAACCTTAAAGCAAATAAATTGTCCGATTTATTGGAAGAATTTAGTCCCCTATTCTTGATAATTTATTTTAGTTTAGTTTTTTTTTTCCCTTCCTGACATTTTTTATTGGAGTTAATAGGAGTCGTGATCTTATTAGTTTCTTGTAATGTCCATGTTCATTGATATTCAGCTCTCAAGAAATTTCCATTTTTAAAGTGCAGCAGTGATAAAATGTAAACTTAAGACTGATATATGATTTACAGATTCCAACATTCAGCGCTTTTTTTTTAAATATATATATAAAAACATTCAGCAGTCTAATGGCAGTCGGGAAGAAGCTGTTCTGGAATCTGCTGGACCTGCATCAGATGCTGCAAAGCCTCTTCCCAGAGGGCAGCGGGGAGAACAGTCCATGGTGGGGTTTTTGGGGGGGTCATTGATGATGATGTAACGGGCTCTGGACATGCAAAGCTGGGATGAAATGCCCCCATGACCCTCTCTGCTGTTCTCAGTCTTCTCACTAGGGGTGGGTATTGCCAAAGAAGTCATGATTCGATTCGAATCACGATTCACAGGCCACGATGCGATTCTATCACGATGCATCACGATACTTGAATTATTGTGATGCATTGCAATATTTTCTCCTCCATGTTTTGTTTTTGAATGACTCGGCGCAGTATCTCGCGGCCGGAAATGCTTGTGACACAAGGCAGCGTGCGTCAACACATTTGCAGCGACATCTACTGGACTGAAAGTTGTATTCCAGTTGTTTTTGGCTGATGTTCGCCAACCATTCATGCAATTTTGTTTATTAATTTGTTTTTATTAATAATCGATACTTGGCGTCAAGAATCGATGAAGTAGATCACGAAAATTAGAATCACGATGCATCATCATGACGATTATTTTGCACACCCCTTCTTCCAGTCTGAGGCGCTGCAGCCTCCTCACCACACAGTGATACAGCTGGTCAGAACGCTCTCTATGGTGCTTCTTCTCATATTTTGTAAAAGCATTTGGTTTTATTAAAACTTTCTCCATTCAAAACCAGCGATACCTGTGGTCAACAGCTGAGGGAGACGATGTGCAGTTGCTGAGATATTGTCAGAAATACAAATCCGGAGAGTTTGTGTTCAGTAGGGCTGGGTAAAAAAATCGATTTTAAATCTATTCCTTTACATTTTTACAAAATCGATGTCTATGGAATGAGATTGATTAGTACATGACGTTCACATTCAAATGAGCAGGAAAGATGCTCTCAAGATTAC